CTTTAAAAGGCTGATGCTTGCCGGCAATAAACGTCGCCTTGATCAGGCTCTTGTTTTGGCGTCCTTCCTTTCTCTCTGCCCCATCTCCACCCCACTGCTCTTTCAGGTTTGAGGCACTGCTGGACAGTGCTCTGCGTCGCCGGCTCGCGACAATTATGGGCTAGGATTACCATAGTAACCTCAACACCCGCTCCACGGGAATGAGGGTTCACATGGGAAAGAGAAATCAGGCTCAAGAAAAACAAATTAACAACACTTGCAACTAATAATCATAATTCCCACAATAGGTGGAGGAACTTAACAAAATGGAGTTACAACACCTGACTCCCACAGATAACATCAGATCTTTAACAGGAAGCACCTGACTCCTACAGATCTTTGACTGTCCGATTTTCTCCCATGCCCGGTCGAAAACAAGTTTAACATGTGCAGTCCTTAAAAAGGAACAAATGTTAACAAATGCTAATTAGGAACATCCTTACGACACATTGTGTCAATGCCTTGATTATAAAGAAAGAAGAAAGAAGTTAAGATAACATCAGATCTTTAACAGGAAGCACCTGACTCCTACAGATCTTTGACTGTCCGATTTTCTCCCATGCCCGGTCGAAAACAAGTTTAACATGTGCAGTCCTTAAAAAGGAACAAATGTTAACAAATGCTAATTAGGAACATCCTTACGACACATTGTGTCAATGCCTTGATTATAAAGAAAGAAGTTATCTTTCAAAAAGCCAGTGGGCCATGGCTGGCTTCCCACAGTTGACTGGATTCTGAAGTGTGATGGCTGCAGAGACAATGGGGAGCCATGGTCACTGATGTGTTCAACTGTGCCATGGCCTGGAGGACAGTGTGCCATACTAAGGAGGTCACTGTGGCCAAGCTTCCATGCCCCGTGGACGGCTGATGCCACAGCGTGCCTCTGGGTATGAGATTGTGCACAGTGCACGCACACATATGGATGCACTAGGACAAGGCTTGTGTGCTTTTTTGCACTGTTTTTTTCAATTTTTCTGTGGTTTATTCTTTTTCTAAAGAAAATTATGTGAGAAAAGCAAGTCTCATTTGTTGGTCAGCCTGTTTGCATAAGATGAATATGAGCTGCCTGTGCACATACATGACAGATGGCCTCTCATCTCCAATATGCAGAAGAATTTTCCTCCTCCCTCCAAAGCCCATGCCAAGGAGGGTGGGTTGTCCTGCTGCACCCATCCAGGGGGTGCCCCGAAACCCATCTCCTGGACTTGGATGGCATGTGGTCTTGGCCTGGCCTCCTTCCCCCTCCCACTCTCAGGAGCCCAGTGCTGTAGGGAGGCCACAGAGGTCCAGCTGTTTCCCCACAGCCAGGCCCCATCAGGAGAGAGGACAGCCATCTCCAGATACTCAATTCTCCCTCAGAGGTGTCTCGTCTATGTGCTCATATGTCAATGGCTGCATCTTTATATCCTATGCCTGATGTTCTAAGGGTTTGTTCTTTCTGCTGGTTGTTCCTGAGGAAGGCTGTGACTTGGGGTGGTGGGTTTGTTTTCTTTGGGGATGAACTGCAGCACACACTTTACCCTGGACCAGGGATCTCTCCAGGCAGCTGCAACATACCCACAGGGTCCCAGGGACATAGCTAACTTTTCATCCATCTCTTGTCTTGGGGGTTGATGGTCCAGTGAGCTGTGTGATTGGATATGCAGCACAGGCCATATTATCCCCCCAAGGAGAGATTTCTTTTTCATGTAAGCCTGGGGACATAGTAAACTTCCTCATTGTACCCTAGAAGGGGCCAGATTTCTGCAGAGGCCTTGGAAGAGGGCATGCTTGTAGTAAGCTGTTCATTTCCAACTCCCTTCCCTGGAAAGCCGAGGCTCTGTCTACTGCTTTCACTGGTGTTAGAACACCATGGTCCCATACCAGGGGCACAGATGTTAGAACACCCAACAGGCCCTCCTAGATCACCCTGGGTGAGTACAGGCCTTGCAGCACCCAGCTGAGTACCCCATCTCCCAGCTGGTGTGGGGTTCAGCCATGCTGTACAGGGGCTGCTGTACTTCTTTCCGGGAACCTCAGAGTGTCCTTTTCTCTGTTCACACCCAGCTCCATGTTTATAAGAATGCTTATTGTATACGTGAACTCTTGGTGTTTGGTTGTTTAAGTAGTTTGATCAGAACTGGAAATTTCTTAATCTGTTATTTTTGACTCAGGTAAACATCCTCTTTTATTCTGTGAACTGGCAGAAAGGATCTGCTTGGATATGCATTTTAAGCCTTTTAAAGTTCTTACACTGACTCAGAAAACAACATTAACTAAAAACAAATTCATTTTTAGAAGTGAATCTGAACACATGAAGTTCAGAGAAGAGCTTTGGCAGGACGAAGAAGAAGGTGGTGAGGAGTGAGAAAACTGCCAGGAAGACGGGTACAGCTGGTTGCAGCCCCTGACCCCAGGGCTGCCCTTGCTGCTCTGGCAGCGACACAGTGCATGGCTGATCTTTCTGTTAGTGCTGAGTGGCTTTGAATCTGTGGCAGCCACCAGAGAGGGAGGCGCCTTTTCTTCTGGAGGGGCAGTGTGCATCCTGCCTGCCTGCCTACCTTGCTGCAGACCCAACTGGCTGGGATCTGGGAAGATGGAGACTGGACTGGGCAGGTTCTGGCCCTGTCTAGCACAGGATGTCAGCCCACAGCATCCCTGGGGATCCCAGGCCCCTGGGCCAGCCAGGTCTGTGGCACAGGACTTGCCCTGTGAACCAGTATGACACGTTCCCTGAAGACGCCAGGTCCAGGCCATCTGTGCAGGGGATTCCAACATGCCCAGCAGACCAGGGACATGTCTCACTTCCTAATCCAGCTGTTTTCTGTGTCCTCATGAACTTCCACCTGGACCTCAATGCCTGTTAGGGGCCTGAAGCCAACACAGCTGCTGGGATCCCATGCGTGGCCATGGTGGAGTTCCAGGGCCCTCTCCCTCTCCCTCACTGTCAGCAACCCCTGCTCCCGGTTTCTGATCTTGCTGGAGTCCAGTAGCTGAGGTCACAGAATAGTTCTCAGCACACTATGCCAGGCCACAGGGCACTGTCTCTGTGTCTATGTCCCATGATAACACTGACTTGTCAATGGGCTGGGGCACTCTGAGATCCAGGGACTTCAGCTTCTGCTATGGCCTGTCATAGCAATGGGGTGGGGTCACCAGGGTGCCCAGGTCCTCTGGGTGCACTGCCATACCCTGACCTAGGGCTAGGATCTCCCTGTGTATGGGACTCCTGCACAGTTGTGCTTCCATCCTCTGGGTAAGGGCTTGTGGGACCTGTGCGAATCCAGGCTGTCAGATGGGGTCTGCAGTTGGCCCAAGTGAGGAGGAAGCCTACGAGGCAAGAGGAAGGGACAGGTATGGGGGTCAACCCCGCCCTGCAGGCCCAGCCCCCTCTGTGCCTGCTCTAGGCCTGCCTGCGCTGCCTGGCAGACCTTAGCCCTGTGATTGGCAGCGGAAGGTGGCTCAGGGTGACCTTGTGATCAGATGGCTCTTGGCAGGAGGTTTCCTGTCCCAAGGTGGATGTGATTCTGGGCAGGTGGCCTGCAGTAGCTGATGGTGGGTTTTCAGTTTACCCTGAAGCAAAGACTGCTATGTAACGAGGCCACCATGTCACCCACACAGAAGCCTTGGAGAATTGGAGCCTAAAGTCAGAGAAATAGTTTTCCCCCTTCTTTGAAAAACATATCAGAAATAGCCATCCCCCTTTCCTGTTTGCAGACCCTGTGGTCTTCTGGTCCCATCTCAGCAAGGAACCCTTGGCTAGTACTCACTGGATTGCAGGCACGGTGTCCAAGGCCTGTCCTTTGCTTTCTGCTCCTGCCCAAGGTGCCTTGCTGTCTATAAACTCCTCAGGACAGTGGCTGTTCCAGGGGCTCTCTGTGTGCTACTGTGGAGGAAGCCTGCTGGACTGGTCTCTGTTAATCCCATCCCTCCCTGCCCAGATATAGGGCGATGAAGGAGCACAGATCAGGCTGCAAACCACTCTGCAGGTCACTTGAGGTCAAGGAAGGAGGAGTGGCGAAGGCCCTGAACACCAGTGACCTTGTGGGTACAGCGGACTCTGGTTCCAAACTGTCTATCTTGTGGCTGCCCGAAGACTCCTGAGTTGGAAATGACAAGGAATAGTGTGACCCTCGCACCAGCTACATCCCTGTACACCCTGTACCTGCAGTGTAGGTCAAAGATTAGGGATGGAGAGCCCTCAAAATCCTTCCCTACACCTCCAACCAACAGGAGCTGGGTAAAAGATAAACTCATTTTGGTTTATGCTATGTCACATTCTGGAAGAACAATAGCCGAAGCTTAGAAATGCTTTGGAGCCCTTTCTTGTTTAAGGTTCCATTTTCCACTGATTGATGTTGCAAACTGAGCATTTGATTTTGTTTTGCTTGATTTAATTCTCTGAGGACCTCACATAATTCTACTGTGATAACTTGTTCTTGTGGATACACTGCATGGATCTCTTACAATTTGCTAAGATTTAAAGCTTTCATTTGATAAAGCGGAAGCTACCTTCACCCTAATGTTTTTTTGTATGTGATTTTATTCTACTTGCAGTTTAAATTTCACTAAAAATTTAAAAATTATACTTGTGTGGCTTCACATGCAGGTTGTGTTTGTGGCAGTTGTGGCTCTCCAAAGTTCATAAGCAACAAACCCACAATGCTCATTAAAGGCTGATACATATGGGTCCCATTCTTGAGTGCATTATTGTCATTCTATAACTTGAATCTGTATCACTGTTCTGCCAGATAGTCAGTGTCCTTCCCCGGATTTCAGGTAAGAAATCAAAGGATCCACCTGGCCTCAGACAGCTGATCCCAATTTGAGCTTCACAGCTGGTGTCCACGGCCTCTCCACCACGATCTGCTTCTCTGCAGAGGGAAGGGAGCTTTCACCTGCGCAGGGTTAGTGTGGCTCAACACCACTCTTAATGTGCAAAACCTGATCTGTCTTGCCTACTGGTTTCACCAGATTTTTAAGAAATTATTGTTATTTTTACCCGAGGCAAGGCTTTACTGGGGGTCAAGAGCTGCCAAGGCTACCTTGAACAATAGCAAGAAGAGAATGAGACTAACTGGGTGAGGCTTATTTAGGGGGGTGCAGTGGGGAGAGAATCAGATTTGAGCAATGGGAAGTGGGTGATTAGAAGGGGAGGATCATGTGGGTAGCAGGGTGGAGCAACAAGTTAGGTTTTGCTTCTCCAGAGGAGGTAGATTTCACTTCTCTGAAGTGGCTCATTTCAGTGAGCAGGAACCATTTTAGGAATGGGAGCCATTTTAGACTATAGGACCATTGGGGCCATTTTGTCTGGTAGGGAATTATATCATTTCAGACTCGTTATTATGGAATAGAGGTGAAGGTCTCTTTTTCTGTAGCGGCTTCCTGCTGGCAAAGGGGCATTGTTGGGGGGTGCTTTAGACGGCCAAGGTGTGGTCTCATTGGGTGGAACAGCATCAGTAGCGAGGGACTGGTAGTCAGCCATGACGAGTTTGTCAACTATCTGGTTGGTAAAGGCCAGCATGTGTTCCTGTAAGAAATTTTGAAAACAGAGAAAAGAGTCCAAAAAGCAGGATTACGCAGAAGATGGTGAGTCCTAGGACAGGGAGGAGCCAGGGGAGTCATTGGTCAAAGTGTTCTGATGATGGTTGTAACCTGTCTAGAACTTGATTGTGCTTTTTTTAAGCATGAATCAATGATTTTTAAAAGAAATTAGCAAATGCATAATTGTCTAAATACATAAATTATACTTCAAATTTTTATGTGTTAAATAATAATCTCTGAAGTCAATTATATTAAATGTGTATATTAAAACATTTAAAGCTAAGATACTTGCTCTAAGCAATTTAACAGTGTGTTTGATCTCTGAAAGGTGTGTGTTCAGTTGTGAAGCAATTGAATTGGTTCTGATGTCCACATATAGATGTTTAGGACTTCCAACTAGAGCAGCCATTGGAAGGCACAGTGCACTCTGAGGGGAAATGACCAAAGGAGGCCAGACTACCACTCACTTCTGGACCATAGCATTTGGAAATGGTAAGTGCATTTGTAGGTACCATGGAGTGGAAGAGTAGAGGCACTTATTATATAATTCAGAACTAGATAATCATTGAGGATTTTACTTTTGGTTTGAATATCATAAGTTAGGCAAGTAGTCTGCATTTGTTCACCCATCCATCCATCCATCCATCCATCCATCCATCCATCCTTCAGTGACTGAGTACCTTCTATGTGGTAGACACAGTTTAACTGATGCTTCAGAGAGAAGTTTCCAATCTGGTGCAAGGAGGCAGGTAACAATGCATAAGATTATAGCAGGTGCTATGCTGTGAAGAAAACAAGGAGAGTTAGTGTTGGAGATCATTGACTGATGATGGTCAAGAAGTCATGGGAATTCTTTGTGAGACAGGTGGAATTTAGAACTGCAGGAGCCAGGCTGCAAAGGCCTTGGCAAGGGCATGCTGGGCAGAAAGAGCACAGATTCCATGACCTGGGGCTTTCCCTGCTCCTAGAACACAGCTGGGCTCACACCCATGTGGTCACGAGGCACTGGTGGCAAAGTGAGATCAGGAAGTCAGGCAAGGATCAGGCCAAGCCAGGCTTTGGGACAAGGAGGACATTTGGGTTTCATCTCAAATCAAATGGAAACCCCTTGTCTGGTTTTTATTCCTTACTTAAAATCAAGGTTGATTTCCATGTCCGGAGCCTGCTGTTGGCTGCTGTTGGAGGACCCTTTGTAAGGTGCTGGTTTGCCAATAGTGAGACCAGTTCAGAAACTCTTCAGTCAAATAATTGCTCATTGGAATCCACACGGCCTTGGGGTATTGCTAAAAGGCACTCGCTTTAAAGACTTGCTCCCTGTTCGAAGTTTTGGCAATGGTTGTGGGAATAGGTGCTCTGGTGGGTGTTGTGGAATAGCACCACTGACCTGTGTTCCCCTCAAGGAAAGGGCAGTTCACAGATCTTACTTAGCCACCTTACCTTGGGCCCCTTCCCAGGGCAAGCACCTGTCAGGTGTATCAACTTCTCCAGGGAACACCTGTGGGATTGTGGTTTCTCTGCACAACAGAAGTTGTTTCGGAGAAGCTTGCCTCACTGCTGTTTTACATGCTGGACATACCAGGTTTCATCCCTGGGAGGTAAACTCAATCCTGTGTGATCACAAAGGGTGAAGGGATCATTTACCTGCTTGGCAGGAGGACAGTGCATTCCAAGCCTGCAAACAGACGTTGGGCAGTGGGAGCAGCTAGGCCGGCCACCCACGGACTTCCTCCTTCCTTATAGAATGGAAGGGAAATGAAAGGCACCTTTCAGAAAGGCACAAGACTATACTTTTAGGCAAGTCTGTATTGGGAAACAAACAGTAAAAAACAATTTGTAAAAGCTAATTGTGGGGGAAGTAGAGATGCCCCAAGAGATGCCCTGTCTGGAAAAGACTTCTGTGTATCTTCAGGGCCTGCTCCTGGCATGGCACAGAGCAGGTGTTTGCAGGCCTTTGGGAAGGGACCTTGCACCCCTGATGCCCAAGCCAGGTGGTGGGTGTGGTGGGCCTAGAACTCCAGAGATGACCTGGAGTCATCTTGGCCTCAGTTGGGGACTCATGGTGACCTGGAGCTCTTCCCTGAACTCTGCATTCAGGGCTCCAAGACACACCTTGCACTCTCTTTCCTGGTCAGGCAGGAAAATGAGCACCATGACTCTGCACAGAAGGTACAGTGTCCCCTCATTTCTGAGCCCTTCTGTCTGCTGGGAGGAAACTGGGCAGCCCAGGCAGAGTCAATAATGGAAACTCAGGCACAGCTGTCAAAGACCAGGAGAGGGTGGCACTGTCCCTGGTCAGGGCCACCTCCAGCTTCGTCTCTATCCAAGTCCTGACCCTCCATACCTCAGAGTGTGGCTGCATGAGGTCTTTAGAAATAATTATGTTAAAATGAAGACTTTAGAGTGAATTGTGGTCTCCTAGGACTGGACTCCTTAAGAAGAGATGGGGACACCAATGGGCACAGAGAGAAGATTGCACCCAGCAGCCCAGGGAGGCCTTAGGGGGACCAGCCCTGGGACGCTCCAATCTTGGATTCTGGCACCAGAACTATGTGATAGATTTCTATGTGAGCCAAGCTCTTGTCTGTGGGACTCTGCAGTGGCAGCCCACACAGGCCAGGCCTGAGCCAAGACCTCCTTCAGGACCTTGCTCTTGCTTCCATTTTTACGGTACCATCTTTCTGTGTCCCTGACGTGGGTACTTGTTGCTCCTATCCGGGGTACCGTGCATTATGTGAGGTGGTGGAACAAAAGTGGCCACTTCAGGGGCTATCAGGACAGTGCTGTTCCCCTGGTGACCTGGGACAGGTCACCCCCCGTCCTGCTTGCAGCAACACCCTCGGCCAGTGTGTTCTGTCAGGGGCTCTCCTCAGGGCCATCTCTTCCCCACCAGCAAGGCTGTGAACTTGCCAGGACCCCGATGCATTGTGGCCTCATCTTCCTGTCCCTGTGGTGTGGGATGGGACATCAGGGACCCTAAGGTCTGCAGAATGTGCAGCACAGACATACGCCAACTCAAGGGCCTGGGAGACTGAGAACACCAAAATATATTCTGCCTTTAAAATCCTCCAAATGTAGAAAGAAAACCAAAGCAGACATGTTTCTGTGGTCTAATAAATGTTACCATTAATTGAAAATTAAAAATTAGGCCATCTGTTACACACTATATTTTGGATATATGTGACATCCCTGGAAAATGTTATTCTCTCATTCTTTTCCTGTAAAGCCAAGGTCTGATCTTGAGGATTATTAGATGTTTTGTTCCAACAAACTCGCTCTCAGATAGGTCACCACTTTGCCAAAAAAAATTTTTTTTAAATGGGCAGATACGTAGAGTGGAGAGGAAAGCTCCTCCTCCTGTTCCTTCTCTTGGCTCTTTGCTAAGATTAAAATATTGTCAGCAGTTCCTGTTGTATCTTCACTTTAAAAAGGTTTACGTGTGTTTTTCTGTCTATTGTCTGAGTCTCTATTTAATATTATCTATCCATCTCTATCTAAAAGTCTATCCATCTCTATCTATCTAGACTTCTCTACCCATACACATCTGTCTTCTATCCACCCATCGCACTATAACCATCCACCTCCCCTTCCTCTAGCCTAATCTACCCTACCAATCATTTGTCTATTTTATTATATCTACAAAACAAAACAACCTTACTGTGACTCATAAATCTTTCCACTTCTGTAGAGATATTCCTTACTGTGGAATGATTTCCCTACTTTGGAATGCTTTAACTCCGTCCCGCAGGCGCACAGCAATTGTCTAAGCGGTGCAGACTGTGACGGAGACCCCGCCCCTGGCCTGAGCCCTGCGGTCGAACCTTCAGCTGTTCACTGCAGGGCGTGGCCAAGAGACCACCGCGCTCTCCTCCAGCGGGACAGGAGCCTGCTCTCGCTCGGCGGGCCTGGCGTTCTCCTGCCCCCTGGTGGTCACTACTGGCAAAGACGGATGTGCCTCGTTTTGGACAGTAGTCGGGGTACCCAAGAAATAATGAATATCTTTCCATAGATTTGTTGGGTTTGGATTTCCCTGTATTTTTAATCTGCTTATTCATACAGAGCGTGCATTTTCCTACTGGGTCATTTATTTTATAAATTTTTTAATTAATTAATTATTAGTGGGGAACGAACCCAAAATTTTTGCACAAAGCTATATCATCAGACATTAAAACAAAAACAAAAACAAAAACAAAAAACAAAAAGCAAACTTGAGATACGGTCTTGCTAAATTACTAATTTAATTACTAATTACCCAGGCAAGTCTTGAACTTTCCATTGCAGTCTCCCAGAGTGCTGAGATCATAGGTGTGAGACACCATGTTCAGCTTGTCTCTCTTTTTTTTAATTTTTAAAAATTTAAAAATTTTTAATTTTTAAAATGTGAGCTCTTTAAAATTAACAAAGTTAGCCACTTATTATCATAGCCACACTGTTAGCAATATTATTTTCCTAGGTTGTCAGTTTAAAAAATTTTGCTGTGGCATTTCTCTTCAGAAATAAAAATATATAAATATTAGCATGTTCAGCCCTGTCACAGTTTCCCCATGTGGTGCCTGGGATTATGGGTGTCCTCATCCTGGGAAAATTAAATCAGCCCACGGATTTCTCTTCAGCCCTTTGCTTTCTTGTTATCTTGATGGACTCATCAGGAGTTCATGTTCATGGACAGCCAAGGAGTTGAAGCTTAGATTGATTTTCTGCAAGTGTATCCAGTGATTTATAAACATTTTGCTGCATAATCTATATTTGCCCACTGGTTCAAAATGCAGCATTTATCATTTGCTAAATTTTGGTGTGAATTTGAAAAAAATCTCTATTTCTTTCTCCAAAGTTCTGTGTCTTCTCCATGGTAAATCTTACTTTTAATTTATTAGTGTAACCATCTGTAGCTCTGGTTCTTCCTCATCTCTCTTCTTTTTCAACCTTTTCTCAGCTATTCTTATGCATTAATTAACAAAATATTGCTTTGTCTAATTCTAAGCAAAATTAAGGAACCCCGCCTCCTCCTAACAAAAAGGAAAGCAAGAAAAAGAACAACAATAAAAGGAATCCTACTAGTAATTGAATTTGTGAAATTGGCATTGTATTAAACTTTTAGGTATTTAAGAAGGATTGACAAACCAATGTCAATATAGAATCTTTCTACTCTAGGCCATGATATCTTTGTAAAAATTGTTTGAATATTTTTTAAAGCCTAGAGATCTTTCACATAAGACAGTGTAACTAGCAGTAATGGGTAGTTACAGCTGAATTGCACTGCAGTAAATTGTACAAAGTGAAGATCAATACTCTTCTGTCTTATGGTAGAATTTAATACACCCTCCTTTGACTTTGGGAAATCATGCGGATTGAATAAACGAGGGTGCCCAGTGGGGTCGCCTGCGCTGTGCATGCTGGCTTTGCCCATGAGCCCCGCACACAAGGACAGGCCTTTCTGTCAAGGTTTCGAAGCAGCTGTGGGTGGGGCAGCGCTGCAGTGCCGAGATCAGGGCAGAAGCACGGACGGCACCGCCCAGAGAGAAGCTGGGGCCACCGTGCCCACGGACCCTAGAGTGCTCGGACGGGAGGGCCAGGGCCACAGGCGCACACCGCAGGTGCAGTCGCAGTCTCCACACAGGTGCGATCCCCTCTCACACAGCTTTCATATGGGCACCTTTCACAATGCAGTTTTGCCTGTTTTTCTTCCTCTCTCCCTATTATACTCCACATCCCTTTAACTAAAAGTTGAATGTGTGTATATCCTCTTGAAGCTTAAACACCTTCCTTCCTTTTTTTTTTTTTTTTTTTTTTTTTTTTGAGATACAGTCTTGATTCATGTTACAGGCTGGCCTGTAATTTGCAGCAGTCCTCCTGCTTTAGCCTCCCCCGTGCTAGAATTAAAACAGCATCCAGCTAACACTTTTATACAATACGCACATACTGTAAAAGGGTCATCGTTCATTTTGTAAAAGTGAGATCACATTTCATGTCTTGCATTTTACCCTTCAGGAAGTCCTTGCTAGGCCTGCTAATAAACAGCTTCCTTTGGGGTAGTCGCTGTGTGGTAGGGGGTTTGTGAAGGTGAGACTTCTGGGTTCATCAGGCTCCTGGGCAAAGTGCTGGCCTCCAGGACTCTACCTCAAGAAGAGCGGGTCTACACCAGCCCTCTGCTTAACTGCTCTGATGAACAAAGATGATTACACCCTTCTTGGTCTCCTCTGGAAGGACTAAAGTGTCGTGGCCTGAGTTAGGTCCCTAGGGTGTCCCACGCTTGTGGGTTAGGAGCAGTGTGCACCAGCCTGCGGACATCTCGGGGTGGAAGGCGGCCTCACTCCTGGACAGACTTCACTGCGCAGGGATGGGTGAGGGACGGGGAGACAGCTGCTCCCCTCCTGGCTGCTGTGCGGAGTTTCCTTCTTGCACCACTCCAGGGGCGCGAGTGGGTGCTGGGAGAGGCAGGAAATGTATTTACGGCAGGGAAAGAAATAAGGAATCTGTCTCTGACCCCGGGCGCCCCAGGAGAGCAGTAAAGATCGAGA